GATATTTTTGAACAATGGACCCAGAAGTTAATTTTAAGAGTGTCTGCCTCTATAGATAGATGTTATGGAAGAGGAACAAGTTTTACCTGACAAGATTGACACTGATCTGAAAGTGGATTTAAAAATGACAGGCTACAAGAATTATATGGAAAAAGATGCTACTTTGATGAAGATGAACTATTCCTATACATGGCTCCCTGAGGCTGTGTAAAGCTGCAATGACATCATAAAGCTGTGCTGACTTCAGAGAGCCTTCAGAAAGGCAGCGCAGCTTTACAAAGACTCAGGGACCCAAGTGTAGGAAAAGTTTGCTGGAGAAGCTGGGTTCAAAAAGGAGACAGAAACAGCAGCGAGGCGCTTCTGCTTCAGCCACAGGGGCTGGGCAGAAAAAGCAAAAGTTCAGTGCAGGGAATTGGGAGAGAAGGCAGCTGGGTGAATGAATGTTTCCTGGGGTGGCCTTGCGCAGCTGGGCTGAGGTGGCTGCAGCTTCGTACTGTGCTGTGGCTCAAGGTTTCCTGCAACCCCAGAGCTACACAGTTCTGGGGCTGTTTGCCACCCCACAAGACAAGGTGCAGGGCAGCCAAACGGGGAGAGATGGGGGGGAGATTGGCAGGTGAGGAGGGTTGGAGGAAGTCCCTTACCTTATTGAGGCCATTCCGGGCTACGAGGGACCAAGCCTGGAATGGCTTGGATTGATGCGGGTCCTTGACTAACAACCCATGATTCCCTGCTAATGATGGCAACTGGAACTGCTGGGATTGCGGTCACATGATATCTTGCTTTATGACCACATTGCTTAGTGACAGAAATTCCAGTCCCAATTGTGGTCATAAGTCGAAGATTACCTGTATCATATTATCCAAATACACTGTGTATCCTATACACACATACAACAAGCTTGCAGAGAAAGTAGTGGTTGGGGATAATGAGGAATGCTGGCCAAATACTACCTATAAGCTAATGGTTCCCAATCCCAATATTACAGGCTAAATTTTAACACTGCAGAAGAATGATAAATGTATACATATTCTCATTGGATCTGCCTTCCGATTCAAACTTATTTTATTTTACGCTGCCCCAATCACTTGATCTCTGGATGGTGCACAATAAGCAAAAAATAAAAAGAAGTAATGCAAAGAATAGGTTTAACATAATAAACAATGCTTGCTCAGCAAAAATACTATGTGCCAAAGGACCTTTAGAACAAACGACTCTAGGGTTTTTCTAAACAAAATAATTTTTATTACTTCTACACTTACAGAAAAGCCCCATGGTCTTGTCCCTCCCTCAGAGATTTCTTGGGAATCCCATTGGTGGAAATTATTTTCTCAATAGGTTTTCTTTTGCTGACCAAACTGGATGGGTAGAATCAGAGTCATGCTTGGTAAGGTGGACCCTGGGCACAGAAGCCTTCTGACACTCAGTGCAGTGACTGAAAATAAGTCTAGTCCTACAATAGCAGGTTTACCCAACTAACCGCCTAGCCATCATTTTCTGAATCAGCTGTAGCTTCCATATCATCTTCAAAGGCAGACTTACATGGAGTGTGTTGCAACTGCCCCACTCATCTGATAATCAGGGCATAAACAACTATCGTCAGAGAATCCTGGTCCAGATAGGGCTTTAAACTGGAATATCAACTAGTGTTTTAGCACCTCATATTGGAACATCCAAGGGCTCGACTACTCATCCCCTACCACTACTATCTAAAACCACTGACTCAGCTAAGAGCAGAAATGCTGTAAAATGGTGCTGCCTTCTTCTCCCAATCCTTGCAGGCAGTCCAGTAGGATACAATGGTGAACAGCATCAAATACTACTGGGAGATTCAATGAGAATTGAGTAGGCACACTCCCCCATCCAAGTCCTGACAAAGGGAATCTAGAATGACCTCTGCTGCTTCTGTTCTATGTCTGGGCCTGAACCCCGAATGAAATGGATCCAGTAATCTGCTTCCTATAGGGTCCACTGTAGCTCACTCACCATCACTTATTCAACAAGGTTGGAGACAGGACAAGCATTCACAAATATGGCTAGACTGAAAGATGGCTTCTTCAGGAGAGGGCAAACTACGCTTCTTTCAGAGGTAGCAGCACCTTGCCTCAAAGCAGCATTAACCACCTGCTGAATCCAGCCACCCAACCGTGCCCTAAGTGTCAGGATCCATCAGTGCTTGGGGTAGACCATTCTCATAGGCCCTTTGGCCTTGTAGTAGTCCAAATAAGCTATAATCCAGTTTGACTAGAAAGTGGTCTAACCATGACAAAAGACAGATGTTAGTGTCCTCCACATCCAGATCATGACTCAGCTACCCTGAGATAAAAAAACAGATCAAGTGTATGCCAACCTATGTGCATCAGAACTGAAACTACTTGTGACAAGCCCATGGCTGCCATGGATGCCATGAACCCACTAGACTCTGAAGTCATCTTTTAGAAAACAGAGGCTGCAAAATCACTAAAGATCATAAGCTCTGGGGATTCTAATTCCAGCCCCAAAATGTGGTCTGCAAACTGATGAAGGGCTAATGCCAGCTAGGCAATCAGTACATGAGCAACAGCCCAACTTGTCTATGCAACCCAATTTAACATATAGGTACTTGCAACAAGTTACATCTGGAATGCTGCTACTGGTCACTGTGATGTTTTCACCCATGACCACAGCCCCCCTCCCTTTTCTCTGACCCTGGTGTTGTGGCTGTAGCAGCAAACCCAGATGGGCAGATTTCTGACAGGATTACACTTCCATTGCTGTTCAGCCAGGTCTCTTTAATACACATCATGTCAAGTATAGATTCAATCTTATGTTCAGCAGGAGTTGGCCACTCGGCCTAGGGCAGGGACCACAGCTTAGAAGAAAGGATCTGCGTTAGCGTGCATAGCCCATCCACATCCCTCGTCATACCTTGCTCTACTCATGACAGTTCCAATATACTGGGACAGTTGTTTATATTTTTTCTCTTAGGGAAAAATTCCTAAGATACTAATTCCTTCAGCAAAATCCTTCCTTCTGTCCTTCCACTTGGTATGTATAATGCACACAAATCAAAATATAAGGTCATTAGGAAAAACCACAAAACATGAACAAGCAACTTACCTCTCCTTTGCAAGGACTGCAAGGCCTTGTAATAAGATAGGCACAACCGTCTGATCCAGATATGCACGTGTAGGTAATGACTGAAGATCCACTTTCTGCTTTGATGTTTTTTCTGCACTTGCTTTCTCATTTTCCACTATCCGCTTAAAATTATAAACATATGCTATGTGAAGATATCTATCCCATCTTTAATTGAAATCACAAATTTCTTAATAAAATTACACACAGCCTCCAGGCATTCCTTCTGTGGCCCTCAGAATGAGTGGGACCAAAAATGTGGAAGGTTGATTTCTTATATTTTTGAGGTTTTAAGGAACAAAATTAGTGCCCTAAAATTTGCAAGTAAATGAATCATCCATAATCATCCAATTAAAACTTCTGAAGCCTCACCCATTTTTGCAGTGCAGCCTTCAACTTATCATGCGTAGCCTGATGTGCCCTTCAAGCTGACAGAAGTTGCATGCCCCCTATTCAGAATGTTTCCAAAGATCCATGCATTTTATTTTAGTCCACACAAGCAAAATAATATTCTTCTGAAAGGTACAAAACCTCAAGCAACAAAGATGATTTACTTGCTTGAAAATGCTCATGGCTTCATTCAACAGATGTATAGCTACAAGTTCTACAGTGGGTGACTGAAGCTGTGTTGTACCAAAATATACATATGAATATGCAGATATATTCAAGAGACTTGGGTAACTGATCCAGAATCTCATGGCTGCATAAGCCCCCTTTGGAGTAACATCTGAAGCTCACCACTGCAGTTTCCCACAATTCTGAGGCATGAAACAGAAGGGCTTAAAATAGGCTTAACATAGTTTTAAAAATGCCATAAATACCCCATAGGGACTCCCAATCCATTTAAAAAAAAATCAGAATTCCATCTCTAATAATATGCACAGCATCACCCCACTTACTTTGCATCATCACTCCACCTACAGTGGCCTTCCCCAACTACCAAAAGGCAGCCTACCTCTGCCTAAAGTAACTATACTCTGAATATAAAAGTTTAATCAACAAAGGAATCAAGAACCTTATCTTCATTTTATTTATGGTGCTTTTAGGCTGCTCTGAAGGCTTGTACCTTTCCAAGGCAATATATAAAGAAATATATTAAAAATATAAATAGTATTACAAATAAACACAGCAGCCCCAAAATATAGCATAGAAGGAAAACATAAGGAAAACTACAGAGCAAACTGCCAGAGCTTTTTGCAAGGACAATTATAAAAAACACTCTTACATTCCATTTTAAAAAACCAATACAAATCTCTCTTAATTCTCAGTACCACTATCATAATTTCAGAACCGATACTCAGTCAAATATTCTAATGTATAATGTACATGAGGCTCCACTCACCAACTGCATTCAGTTCCATAACTGAGATTATACACTGTAAGAAAACACTAAAAGGACACTAATTTCACTTAGGAATAATCAAATCTCAATTACCTCTACATTCTCTGTAAGGCCATATTCTGCATGTGGATTTTCTGGAACCTGTAAAACAATACACATCCATAAAATGACAACGAACAAATATTTACCTTTTTAGAAAACAAGAACTTTAAAGAATTATTATCACTGTTGCTGTTTTAGCCTTACCTGTGGCTGGCCCTCCATAATCTGTTCGGTATCCATGATGTATAGAAGTTAAAATAGTCTGAGAACTTAAAAAATGACGATTGTACAAGTTAATATATTAAGACATACTACATTGTTAATAGCCTGAACCTCAAAGGATATTTTGCTACTCTTCCAGATTCTGAATACTTTTTATATTAAGCCAGTAAAACAAAACTCCTTAAGAATGCGATAAAGTGATTTCACGGCTTTGGATGGGTTATCAAAATTACCTGGGAGCGATAGACTGATGAGGAACTAATCCCCCTAGTAGAAAGACTGCTGATGGGACATATATTTATTGATTCAAAAGGAAGCCCGATTCATTTCAAGTAAGCGGAGGTGGGATTGCTGCCTTTACTCGGCGCTCTAACAAAAGGCCTTTTTTTTGCACTTAGAACCCAAGCATGGAGAGAAGTGGATTCGGGATATTCTCCGACCTAAGGCTTCAAAGCATCCCCCCCTCCCCCCGCAGCTCACTTACACTTCGTCAACTAAATTCGGTTCGAAGATATAACTGGCAAGAAACGGCCCGTCGCGGAGCAACAAGAGAAACAACCGTCGTTACAAGTCGTAAAAAAATCTTGGTTGTCGTACAATGTTGTGCGGTAGAAAAGAGGGACGTCGTACTTGCTGGGCTACGGTGATTTTGTTTTTCTGCGCCTGCGTAATAATGAAACCTCTCCTCCCCAGAGCGCCTGCGTGGAGGGGGCGGGCAGCTGTTGAAAAAGCACCTCTCCCATTGCATTGGCCGGTTTAAGGAGCAACCTAAGCATCTTCCAACTTAAAAGGGTTTTTGGCCACAGAATTAATCAGGGTTAAAGAAGCTCTACTTTCAGATGTTTGCTCTAAATTTGAGAACACAGAGAACAAGCAATCATCTAAAGACTTCATAATGAAGCAAAATTTTGTTCTGGACTGAGTACCAATTCATTTGTTGCAATAGGCTTCTTTAACTTACAAGGATTCAGTGTTTTCCCTATTCAGAAAAACTCAGATGGGAAAAAGGTGGGGCTGTCAGATCTGGGCTGCTGAAATCCAGTCGACTTGGTGTTTTCTATATGTTTCCTGCCATCTAATGATCGTCCGGATTGCTGCAGTCCAGCTCTGCAAAATGGAGAGTATAGAAACTGCCTGTGTAGATCCAGGTGTTTTAAGGGTCTTTGTAGAGGCAACTTTGTCCTTCATAAAATAAACAGCTTGATCCCAAATGAATTCCCCAGTGAAAAATTACTGTAAAGTAAGTCCTGATCTTCTAGTATCTTCATACAGGCAATTATTTAGTATTTAGCACACTCCACTGTTCAATAATGCCCCAACTAGGACACACTATCAAACATATTTAACTCATTAGCTCTTTTTCTCCAGGCAACAGGGGCAGAATGCTGCTTTCTGCCTTCAGAGGACAACTGATAGTTGGAGAAGAATATTTCTGGCAAGGAGAGCAGAAAGCAAGTTTCCTGCTCCTTTGGGTGGGTGGAGCAGGACTGATCACTGCATGAAATCCCTTGGAAGGAAAGGGTGCAGTTTTCCACTGCTTCCCTAATTTATTGGACAGTTCAGAATATGTCAGATTGCACTAATGTGCCACAAGAAAGATTTGATAAACACTTCTTACAATTAGGCCACCAAGGAAAAGAATGTATTACTTTATGCCTCTTAGAATGAGAATGTTTACAACATACAGTCAGCAACATAATCTCAAAAGTTGGAGGGAATGAGGATGCATTGCAGTTCTTTGATGCAGCCGCCTCTGAATTGCAGGAAAACCTGAGAAGCCTATTGCCTGGAAAGCATATGCTTGGCAAGCACAGTACACTAAGCCAGAATCTGTTTTACTTGATTTTAGGTTAATTGGTTGGACCCAGCCAAGTGTGATTTATTCAATCTATAGCATGGTTAAACATCTTATTTGTTGCCAGCCTTTCAAGATACGCCAGTTCCAGGAATACATAACACAAGGACTACTGGAACTTTATTTTTACAGGATATAATAACAGAGTCTTGAAAGCCTGCCAGAGTATCCCTCTGCCTCCTTTTATACCAAACAGAATCAAGGCAGGATTATCTTGAGTTTATTTCTCACCCCTTCTCAATTGTCAACTGGTTCTTGCATTCAAGGTTATTTTCATATTCCTCTGTGGCTTGTGTGAACCACTCATAGTTCATTAATAGCACTGAGTAACTTAACAAGGGAGAGAGAAGAGGATACTGGGATGCAGTATGAACAATATAAGTCCTATACATGCAGAAAGCTCAAGAGAGTCAGTGCTGACAGATTGCCATCTTCCCTCTTCCCCATTCTATCCATGTGTATTTAAAAAATAGTTCTATTGTATTTATTGGTGTTTACAGAAAATTAGGTTTGCAGCATATAAGTAATAGTTTCAAGAAGTGGGAAATGATCAAAAATATAATTTTCAGCATTGGAATAAAGTTGTGTCTTGTTTCAGTAAAGAGCAAACTGTGCTATATATAACTGCAGGTTGAGAAATTGCCCTGCCTTGGGGGTGTTTCTTTCACTACAAGTGTTTAAAATGTGCTGATGGATTTAAGAGAAACAGGGCCTACAAGATATTGAATCTGACTGCATTTTGTGGCAGCATGGTTTTATGGTAAAAAAAATAAAAAAATAGATGAACCTTACTTTCATGCTTGTGATACATAGTACTTTTATATATATCCAGTGGCTGGATAGGGTAGTGGTTAGAGAGCCACCCTTTGACGCAGGAGACTGGGGTTTGAATCCTGGCTGGTATCTACCTTATCAGCAGGGGTCCTTGGGCAAAGACCCCCTAATGCTTCACCTACCTACTTTGGATATGAGAGTGACATGAACTAAGAGAGTCATGCCGGCTCGGACATTGCCCAGATTAACAAGGTCTGTGCCAGATGTTGGGGAATGAAGACAATCTGATGATAAGTGGGTTACTGGAACAAACCATACATGGATGAGACAGGAGAACCTGGAACAGTAGACCTAGTGAGTAGGGGATATATGAAACATATGACAGTAGATCTAATGAGAGGGGATATATGAAACGTATGAGGGAACTATGGATGGACTTAAGTGCTACATCCACACTAACTGAGAAACAGTTAGTTACCCAATGCTTCAACATAGTGAAGAGGAAGCTGCTCTTACAACTTGAGATAGACTAACTACACATTACATCCTGGACTCAGGAAGACCCAGAAGAACAACTGGATGTGCAGCCAACACCTGAAGCTAGAACGTCACTGCCAACCCCTCCATTACAGAGCACAGCAGTTGATAAGAGGCACAAGATCATGGATAAACTAGCTACAGTCAACCCTTGAGACTGATTACCAAGGCTCAGCTGAGAAGTACCATCAGATGGTATGCTAGAAGATGCCAAATAGAGCCCTCACTACAATCCCTATTACCACCATAACTCAAACCAATGAACTGGTATACGCTATAGCCGCTGTAATCCTAGAGATGCTTGGCTACATGATCAAGAGGAACAGCAGTACACATCCTCCCTGGAAAATAAGGTTGGAGGCTAAGATCAAGACAACTTGGAGAGGTTAGTCAGCTGGTAGAACTACAGAGGGGTGTGGAGATTAAGGGTAAGACTCAGTTACAGAAAAAAATACAAGGGCCTGACTCCATCTGAAGTCTAGAGACTGCTAAACAAAGGTTCACAGCAACGGCTACCAGGCTAAGGAGATACACTAGAGAAGCAGAGGCCAAGAAGATAAATGCCCTATTCTCCAAAGAACCATCCAAGGTGTACTCCCA